GAACTGGATTTCGCCTACATCCGTGGGCTAGCCAACTGAACAGTAAAAGGGAGCGTGCACCCAAAGTTATCTATCTAGCCAGATAAAAAAGATCTCAGCCTTATGAAGTGTCCACTCTTAGGAACCAGTCCATTTCTCATGAGATGGACAAATTTTGACCCTTTCTTCTCGAGTAATCATTTGAAAAGTAAGACTGCTCTTTTTCGTGCTTCACACGCCACAGTCATCAAGCCTGAAGTTGTCCGTATATTAATGATTTTGCGTTCCCTTCAGCTTTATCCGTATGATATGACCCAGTGGTGAGAGTAGGAACTTATTTTTCCGGAAGGCTCGTGATTCGAACTCTACCTCTGCCTCTGGACTTCCCATAACTAGCATTGGGCAACGTGGCAGTAATCTGTGCTTCGTTTGGGTTGCATGGCAGCTAGGCACCAAAAGAGTCTACAGTTAAACGATTTTTTATCTATTTGTCTTATAATAAAACATAAGTTATTCAAAAGACAAAACTTTAACCGGTTTTTCTGTTCTCACATCAAATTCTGTTGGCGTTTGTGCAAAGTGAATTGCACCTCATATTGCCATTGGCTCCTATTGATTCAGCATGGAAACCAAAATCTCACTATTATGAGTCTGTTTTCAAATACTTCATTATTAGCGACGAATGTTTAACGTAGGTCGACTGAACAGTACACCTTCGACGTTTACACAGAGGTGCAACACACCGCCAGGATGATCCACAGTCGTATAAGTAGGCAATAAATATTATGTACGGCTTCCTGCTTAAAACTCTATTACACACACAGATGATTAACGCTTCACAATCCCATAAACAGAATCACATCAAGAAATTTCGAATTATTTTCCTAACTTGTATTAACGTGGTAAGTATTTCCATTTCAGTCCACAAAAATATCGAGGTTAATATTGCTTCCTCGATGTCGGGAATATGAAAAAACTGATGCAATGTCCAAAGAAAGCAAATGTAGAATGCTTGGTATATTGCTAGTAAGACGGCTAACTGAAAGAGTGATAAAAGTATGTTCCTCCGACTGTTATCATGAGGAAGGAAAATTCTTGGAAATTACAGTTCTGCAGAATGTTTTTCCTAAATGTTTCGTACTGAAAACCATGCAACCTGTTAAACCCAAACCTAAACAAGTTTCAGTTAGAAAGAAGCTCGTATACATGGTAAACTAAGCGATTCATTCGCTGATCTAGTTTACGCGAGCTATGGAACATCTGTGGACACAATAGATATGGCTGCTAGCTTGTGCCCGATCTTTAATTCCGCCCCTCTATCAGTTTCCGTTTGAAGGACAAACTCTCACGTACTACAACCAGCTTTTTTGCGCATCCGTTTGTGTGCTGGTGTCCAGAATTATAAGTTTTGTCATACGACAAAACACCTGTCGGAGAGAACACAGTCCCGTATCCCCGAGTGTTAATGGGAATAAAACGGGATACCACGCAAGTGGCCGGAACTAGTCATTGTCATCGACAAAACACCAAGCCTTCCATATCGTATACTGGGTACTCTTGAACCGATCACGATTGATACGATCCAAGTTACCGTGGATCTTTGGGGCGATTATAATCCGACGTCTGGAGCCGCAACTTTGCGTCCGAAACAAACCTGTACAACCTCTGCCCACTAGCGACCTGGGAAAAAGGCAGTTTCATCAGCTTGTTCGACACTAACGTCAATTACTTGTCATCGTGTCTCAATGACCTACCCCTCACTCAGTCCCACTTCTTTTGATTTTTATTCCACTTCATTGTATTCACCCATGATGTCAACTTTTTCGCGTGATTTCTGTCACGATGTAACTTTGTGTGCAATAACTGAAAGAAAGATTCAAAGGACACTATCTGGGAACAGTTCACAGAACCTAGTCATCGTGTCGATTGACTTCGATTTTATGAAGAATGAGTGTTCCTTATTGACATTGTTTTACAATTTCGTTTAAAATAATCGTTGAAGGTTAATCTTGATCATCTACAGAATCAGCAAAAATAATGAAAAATTACTTGCATAAACTCAAACACTATTTGTTGAAAAGTGTAATGTAACAAGAATGATTTTAAAATTGCCTCTAGTGTGAACCCAGTTGCTGGAATCCATCGTCATTGGGACTGATTTCGATGGGTAGGGAACACAATGTCCCCAAAGATAACCGTCGCAGTGAGGGTTGTCGTGTCCTAAAGTTTGTTCGTGATACATCAAGAAAAATGAATGACAAATGACAACCAGAATGATGGGCTCTTCTTCAACGTAAATGCCCACAAATATTTATCAAGACTAGTCAAAATCAGTCTCCGCAAAGCACAAGGGATGCAGGAATCATCACATAGAAATGTGTTGATGCAAAACTGCAATTTAGCATGAATATGAAAATATCTACTCTGCATCTTAGATGACCCTGTGCCATTACGTGAGAAAATAAATTTCAGTGCACCTGAAAGCATAAATTCCCAGTTTGCTCTGGTATTCCATCAAATGGTAGCAGAACGGGAGAGGGGCTGTACCCAAACTGACGCTGATCCTATTACAGTCTTAGAAAATACATATCCAGCTCAAATAAAATTGTTTCCTTGCACTGTTACGAAGAATAACTTCAAAAATCGATACCTGTCTAATTAGACTAGTTGGCTAATACTGTGAACTAACGAGGTATACTCATTAGGCTAATGAACGTACAGGACCTCATTAACAGATCATGCTTAATGCTTGGTTTAATGATTTTTCCCACCTAATCAGGCACTGCTGCTCTCTAAAGCAAACCTCGATCAAATAGCGTTTATGGGGTTTTCGCCAGTCGAACGTGGCCCTTTAAAGAAGTGAATGCCTCTATTATTGCAACGAAACGTTCAAGCGAGTGGTGTAGATTCCCATCTCGTACTGCCGTGGTGTGCTGCAGTCCCGGTTCACAACAAACTCCGACCCTGAATGCATATGAGTAGTTCCACATGTAAGCAAAGGATAAACAGTGTATCTTCAAATGCCAGAACCAGAAAAAATGACCATTTTGCCTATCGATGAAACTTGTTCAATTTACTGGCCGATGCATGTGTCTCCTACAAACATTCGTCCCCGACAAAGTCGCCCTTTCGTCGCAAGATATACCTTAATAAACAATGTACTTTCCCCTCCTAAAGGCTTTCATCATTATCTTTCATTGAAATTCGCACTGATTTAAGGCAAAGACTGAGTGGGCTTTGAAAAAAGCTGCGTTTGGGAACCCCCAAAGCTTCCTTGGATATTAATTCAGGTTATTCTAATTCACCATCACGACCTACGCTACAACACCTTGTGTAAACCTGTGGAGGCGCGACATGGTTAACACTAAAAGGCTCGATTGTAACCATAGGTGTCTTGCTGGATAGGTTCTAATTTTTCCTGCAAGAAAAAAACTAAACTTGTGCCGTTTGCGGATCAAAGAGACTCTGTATTGGGGGCTTTGCCAATTTGGATACTGGAACTGACTTAGGTCGACGGGTTACTCATGTCCGAGAGAAAGTGGATGGGAACTGAAGCTAACTGTGTTTAACCAAATACAGTAACTTAGAGCTAGATAAGTTATAAGTGCATTATGGAAGCTGTGAATGGCTATTCGTGTTACATTTTCTCCTCAAAGTCATCCAATTTGAATCTTTCCTATTCTGAGATGTCTTTCATGGGCATGTTTATTTTATATTTTTGCATTTTTATGGCACCTATTGCAAATTCCCGTCCGCATGTCTTGTCTCAGATAGAGTGAAGATCGCAGAGATCCAGCACATGTACAGTGCGAAACGGAAAATCCACGAAAACTCGGGTTCTGCTTATCAAGGAAGGATGGTCCTAGAGCTTTGTGGTGCCTCCATTGTAGCACACGTAAGGACAGTGAGCAGTATCGAACACGGCATCTGATTATCCTGTCAGCGTGGCCTGTAGATTCCCTCGGGAAAATAGAGGTAGAGGACTCTGTCGTATATTTTGTTTGATTGCTTTCATCATTACACCTATTACAAAACGTCGAGTAAACAGGCTTAGTTTCAATCGTGTTTTATTTATAATCTCATTTGGGACATTCATTGTGACATTTTGCTCTAATGTATGAACATCTTGATCTGTTTATGAATGCTGGAATGCCTACTGGACAAACCCCGTTCATATAGATCATACCACGTGAAAGTTCCCTCTAATGTGACATTCATTGTGACATTTTGCTTCTAATGTATAACATCTTGATCTGTTTATGAATGCTGGAATGCCTACTGGATAAACCCCGTTCATATAGATCATACCACGTGAAAGTTCCCTCTAATGTGAGCCAGTTACATGTGGCTTAAGTGTCCACCACAAGTCCGCTAAACTGAACCAAATTTGATTTTCAATGACTGGACTATAGCAAGTGGAATTTTGCTAGTCAGTTATTACCGGGATATTGCAACAATCCTAAAGAGCGTTTGTGCATTCCTAAGGCAAAAATCTGTCTTATGCTGCAGAATGCTCGAAAGGTCGAATCCAAACAAAGTTTACCGAATTCTGAATACTATAAATCACCCGTGAAAGTGCGATGAGGTAATGATGGAATTCATGCGAAAACCCATCTTACAAATGACTTTAGAGTGATGGAAACGCAGGTCGCATGTTTCTTCGTATATTGCTTCGGAAACACCTGATTGTATTTTCGTGGTTTTGGTAATCACATTCACACTGTTATGTTTTGAGCAAACCTCTTCTTATCCCACCACGACCGTTTACTATGTGTTCTCCTTCGGGAAAGTTTGGTTTGATTAGCTGGCTGACCTGCGATGCTGATGTTCCTGACTCATGAAAGCGTTTCCACAAAATCACAACTTTAAACCACTGTTGGTGACCTTTTGAACTGAAAGAATCTTGCGATCAAGTGAGATGTTTAGGATTTCAAAACAAAGCGTGCCCAGAAATCATCTGAAATGCCCATCTGTCACCAACTGAACATTTACAGATTATTGGACAGTGAAGCAAAACTCTCATGTGCATCTTGTATAAGGAGCTGAATATCCATCTTCTCTTTGAATGGGTCTTCCAGAAATCTCCTGGATATTCTTTGACTACAATGCAAGTGAATGCTATAAAGCGACACCACAAATTCCGTAATAGATCTCACTTTTCAAGAGACGCGAAGCGGATTTACGAGGAGAGGTGACTTGCATGTCTCATCAGTAGTATCCACCGTCACACCTGTATCACACAACAGAGTGGCTCGTATCGAACAAAGTGTTGTACGTTAACAACAAGGTTGAACAAGGCGTTTGATATACAAATCCTTCAGAATGTATCGTTCCTAATTTCTATGTTCTCATAGTGTTTGGTTGGTAATGTTGTACTGGTAGGGCGGAAGCAACATCCTGGAAACTTGGTTTCCGATTAGATCAAAGCATTTGATATACAAATCCTTCAGAATGTATCATTCCTGATTTCTATGTTCTCATAGCGTTTGGTTGTACTGGTAGGACGGAACCAACATCCTGGAAACTTGGTTTCCGATTAGATCGCCTGTTTGTTTGTGTTGATTCCTCTCCTTTGGAAATATGTCACAAGATGACGTATTTGGTCATCAGCCTTGAGGACAGTGGCGGAACGGTTGTCTGGTACCGTAAACTCAGTGACAATGGCTCACATTTCATGGTGGTTTGAGACTGTTCAGTCATTCATAATCGCACAACCCCAAATGCACTATTCGAGCATATACGAGCGGACTAGAGCGGGAGTAGAATTACTGAATCTAACGAACACGAGTCCCAAAATTCTGAAAGCGGTCTACATTTCACGTTCGAAATATTCCTCATTGACCACAACTTCTGTGACCTGAATGTTTGAAAACTATTTTCAGTGGCTTTCGTCTTGTCAACTGAAATGCAATTGTAAAGAGTGTCGAATAAGTTTCAAGCAGATAGTTGAGTTCCCTTCGAATTCATTGTGTTTGCCCTCTTAAATATATCTCCAATTTCAATGCCTTTCAAACATTCAACCATATTTGCTCCTCTCCTAACAAAAGAGGGTTTAAAAGCCAAGATGAAAACAGCATTCGGTTTACGACACTGTGCACCATCTTTGGGGTAAGTTTAGCCCATGTGGAAGAGTTTTTCCATGTGAGAATGCGTGTTATTTTCAGAAACTACTCTGTCTCGGTATTGAAAACCAAATTCTGCCTCCTCGGCCAGTTCATCTACACTACGTATATCAGCAAGGTTGTACTGGTTCCTTCCGTATCCCGGGCATTTCCTGAACCCGTTGCAAGGCCACAATAAACCTGGATGAAACTCTCTTTCGGACCGGCAATATAGATTATTGTCCAAAAAGGGCGCTCCAGATGTTAACGCTCTGTACCCACACAAATTTGGATCTGTCCATTTCACATATGTTCGAATTTTTAACTAAAAAACTTTAAGAACGTTTGCCATAGTTTATCATGTACATTTGAGTTACAGGGACCTTAACCATAGCAAATTAATTTCACTGCATCCCGGGCTAGATCAATTCAGTCCAGATGTAAATGCGTAACTGAACTCTAGAGCACCAGGCTCATGGCCTTACAGAAGACACGGTTTCCAACAAACTGTATCGATTCAAACTCCAGGGTATAAAAGCCATTTTTGTTGATTCTCCAACCAGTGGTGCAGTTCGAGCTTAGATATGGCGATTCTGTGACATTTTTCGTTTGAGGTAATGTTGTCTGTGCTTTGTACTCGGACTACATATATTCTAAAAGTTCCTGTATTAAGCTTCAAAACTGCATTTCATATGCCCTTAAGCTCAAAAATGAGGAGGCTGTTACAACCATTAACTCACGTGAGTTTCGGTTAAAGCTCAAGCCTTTTCAAGGAAAAGTGATATGGATTTCACGCATGGAGCAAAAATGGGTTTATTTTGTTTCACAACATACCGGAAGAATAGTTAAGAAAACTTATCACGAGCATCAGAACGACAAGGAAGTATAGAGTTGTGACATGTAGTAGTCAACTGAAGTATGAATTAAATATCGTAATTTAGTGATACAAGTTTGAGGAAGTCCTCCGGGGGAGCTGTAATAATTGGGGGGTAAATAGATGAGATTTTATGTCAAAGAAAACTAGTGTAGTCCAATGTTACACGCAGCGGCGTACGTTTTGTATGCATTTGAGAGTAGATAGCGCAGGGATTAAATTACTCTCAGAGCTGCTTGGAATGCTTACCGGCGAACTTGGATTCGGTCTTTCCGTTCACTAAGAAAGATAATTAGCGGACACTGTTAGCCAAATCGACCAGAAACATGTACGCCAGGCGCGTCAAAATTACGCTGTTAAGTAGTAATAAGGAAAGCAAAACATTCCAATATACTGCGCTCTTTTTACATATCTTCAAATAGCGATTGCCCAGAGGCATTGTATAAGGGCAGCAAATGTCATTTTTGCACACGCAGTTCTTGCATTCACTTCCTTGTCCTATGTTGGCGTGTGCAGTGTCGATCACCAAGTGAGCGAAAATCCATACAGAGTTTGGCGCAAAACTGTTTAGCTGACTACTTGATGTTGTACGTTGAGTGTGCTTGCTGGTAAGACACCGGCTTTTAAGAACTAGTTGTATGAAAGGTAGTATACATGCCAGGGTTACATAATGGAATCGCATCCAAACGCACTCACAATTTGTAACATTCTGGAATCGAGCTTTAATTCATTTAGAAACGTTCAGTAGGTTTGCGCGAAGCACTTTATCCTAGCTTAAAATAAAATGACAAGGTTGTCCAGACAAGCATACTATCTTACTACTAACTAGAAAGTTTTTCCGCTAACTGTTGGTAGAGCCAAAAGTATTCTACGTGATGGTTGATTCCGTTTATATTTCCTGTGCACTGCCTTGCGACAAAATGAAATCAGCCAGATGTCAACCGCTCCTTAACGCACTTAATGTTTTCCTCTATAAGTTCAGTGTATAGTTGGTTTGGCATCACAAAGCTAGTCGTCTTTCCCACCTTACCAAATAGCTTTATTCTGTATTAGTTTCCATTTTACGTCAACTACCTATCTGTTTAAGCGGAGGGTTTAGTGTTGCACCTTTAAATTGGTGCCGAAAATCTTCATTTCATACAAATTTGGGGAGTTCGTCATTAAACTCAAGTCGTTTCGGTTTTGAAATTTCCACGTGCAAGCGGTTTGAATGCCTGCATACTCATTCTGCATCCGGCTCAAGATCTACAGCCCTCGGTAGGTATATTTTGGTTAGTCTGGTAGGTGGCTTTATCATGCTGGGATTCAACAAAGTGGTTCAACATTTTCCGACGATTCTAACCTCTATAGAAAAGCCGTCTGTGCGCGAGGATTTACGGGCTCAAGGTACAGGTAAGAATTTCGCTACTTCGGAGATCCCTGCACTTTTTTTCATGCGGGCATCACTGATGACTCCCGATAGGGAGAGCGATGAACAACACTTTCTGGCCTTTTAGCATATTTTGGTTTCATCTGAAGGAAATTCCCATTGAATTTAAAGTTTGTATTTCGTTGCCTACTTTGCAAGAAAACCACATTGCGTGTTGGAGAGAAACCTTTTTTGCTTCAAGAAGTATACCACCTACTAAAAGTTTCAGGTAAATCGGTGAAAGTAATAATTGCATTCAGTTGTCTCGTCATAACAAAAACAAAATGTTTAGCTTGTCGGCTCCCAGTGGCTTAGGCTTTAAGCTTTAGATTAGATTATTTAAGTCATCTACAGGGCCGTCGTGATCCACTGACTAAACTGACAGGTAAATACCGTTGGACAGAAAATTATCGAGAAAATTCAATTTTTCTACTTTCCAAACAAAAACAAATGTTGACGGAAAATCCGAGAAAACTCCATTTTTATCGTAATTTTACTTCTTTGGTATGTCAGCGTCAAGCGAAAAATTTAGTAATCAGTTAGGGAAATAAACAGCTCATCGTGAGTTCGATTCAGATAAACATGCTTACTGCAGCAGTGCACCAGGAAAAATGCTCCCAGTACTCATCAATTGCCCTTTTATCCTGCCATTAATCAGCCTCAACGTCCCCCAATTCGATTTTTTGTATATAACTTATTGATAGAAAGCCAGTATATTGCAAACCTTTATCACCTCCCGTTTCCTGTGGTCTCCCTCTTCTAACACTTGTCACTATGAACTCGATTGTTTTCACTGAACAATAAAATTTTACATTACTGTTTAAGCCTACTGGTTACAACTGCTGATCAAATTTCCTCCTGTCGTTTTCATCATCTTGCGCTGCCGGCCTTATACTTTGGAACTAGTTGGTACGTTTGCTGTGATAACCTCTCCACAGGTTGTAACAGAGTTCTATTTGCTGGTAGCCACAAAATATATGCTGAGTGTTTCCGCGAATATCTCCTCGTGTTAGCGTATTACGGAACGGAAGAGTTAAGATCCATATTCTCCCAAGAGATTGTAAGGGTGACGAGCTTCTCACCTAATGTTTGCCCTTCAATGTGAACCGAGAGTTTTTCGGGTTTGCTTGCAAAATACACTTTGTCGACTCCTCTGATAGCTACGTAATTTGACGTAGTTCTTGAGTTTGTCCATTTTGGACCCGTTCACAGTTGGGTCACTTATTTTTGAGAATCTTCCTTTCAAGTCTGTATTCTTCCATCTATATTCTTTCCACTAGTTAATTATACACTATTTCCTCACGATCCTATGTAAGCAATGGTATGGGGTACTAATGAAAGGAAGTGAGGCTTCACTGCAGAGTTGTTTATCAGAGAAACACCAACTAAACAGTTACAGACTATTGAACAGGGGAGCAAAACTCTGATATGCATCTTGTTTACAAAACTGGATGTCCATCTTCTCCCTGAACGCGTCTACCTGAACGTTGACTGTTACTCAAATGCAAGCTAATGCCACAAAGCCACTCCACAAATTCCATAATAGATCTCACTTTTCAAGAGACGCGAAGGAGATTTACGAGAAGACACTACACACATGCCTCATCAGTGGCATTCACAGTTACACTAGTATGTTCTAGTTATTAGTGATGATGACGTCAGAAAATTTAGAGGAACCAGGAACCATGGTTCAGAGACTGGGATCACAAAAACAGAAATAAACGAATGCTTCCAGTCATCGTTATATTGCCGAATATTTTGCAACAGCGAGTTCATATTGCAGAACTCTTTGTCCTATATCGCTAAACATCCAGGCAACTCGGTTGGTATGGAGGATGAATAACCGTCAGGTTACGAGTATTTCGCAATGCAGCACAGTCTTATTTAAGACAGGTTTACTACACGCGAGACTGCCAGGTGCTAGGGAAATTCTGTGAACCGTTTTTTGTATTGTGACCACAAAGAGTTTCATGCTGGATTATTATTGCTTTTGGAATACGCTTTTGGTACAGCAATACTGTTTTTAAGACTGTTTTTTGGCTGAAATTTTATTATGAGAAAGAAGTACCAGGCTGACAACCAAGTGTGACTGATCTGGATATTCATACGTGATTTGTTGGTCAAATTTTAAATAATAGTTCGTACCGAACAACAGTTCATCCGCGGTAATTGTGATATAGTCACAACTTCAATTGACACGAAGGCCGGTCCTGGGCATTTGGCAGAAAATGTCAATGTAAGGAAACTCTTTTAGGAATGTTGGTGATGGTGAAACTTTTAAAAGTCTCAATGGGAAGGTGTGACACTTAAAAACCATGGCCTATAAACTGGTTATCGAGTGGAACAAGCAGAATTGTTACCAGATTATTCTCCAAGGCGTCTGAAAAAGGACTCGTTTGTCCATTCATTTGTGAAGGTTCAGTTGCACCAGGCGCACGCCGGTAGATTAAGGGTGGCACGCTTTCTTCATGAGCTATACCACCAAAGTTCACATCTAGTTATCTTGCATTTGGAGAATCGAATGCCCAATTCCTAAAAATAGGCGAATGAATCAATCATAACAGAATATGAGAATTCTTTTTTCTACGAGGCAACGGACAACGAAATTACGGAAATGCCCACATGCTGCTGTCATGCTCGCTACAGAAGGTCGGGAAAGTAAAAATGTGCTGCGTGGTTGCTCAGGAATAACCAATTTTTAAGGACCAAATCTCACTCATACTGTCATCAAAAATCGTTTACTTGCGTTCCATGTGTTTTTGTGATTTTTTTCAAAGGCGAACTAATTAATCTGCTCATTATCTATCATTTTCCCCGTGCTAGAGTAACTATGCTGCATTAATTAAACGCCATCCAGTTGCCTTATTAAATTATAATAGCCCAACAGAGAAACGGGGTCCGAAAAAAGCAGTCATTACTTAATTGTTTTCTCGCTCAAGTGACACGTTTTATCCATTACTTAATTGTTCCTCTTTGGAACCACCAATCTTCTACAGAGGAAGGATTCTGGATTACCTAGGAATATTTTTGATCACCTATTTTTTAAATCAGTTTTTCCCTTAAAAAAGCAATTTTATTTCGTCGGTCATCATTTACCATTTTGACATCAAAGGTTTTGCTTCGTAACCCGTCCCGTTGGTGACTATTAAACTTAACCGGTTACTGTAGTTCGATACTTGGATTCTTTGGAGTGCGGTCTTGTTTAACCAGAGAGACATCACAAATCACGAAATACGTCATTATTTTTACGCTTGCTCGGTGAAACACGAAAAACGACTACTTTGCGTACACAAGGATTGCGCTCGCATTCACTTTTGATGTTTGAGACTATGCTCTTCAAAATAGTACATCTGACTACCGGCGTACAAACCGCCTCCTGCCACTTCAAAGGCCAATCTAGTAGCTAATTAGGTGTCCAGAGATCAAAATCTCTGACCTGTTCAAGGCTGACGACTTGAAAGGTTCACGGGATCCACAAAATCGCCAAAATGATAGTCACCTCTATCATGTTTAGAGTTGTTCTTTCATCTCTGAAGTCGAACGGGGGCATGGTTTGCTACTGTCAGATCCGACGTGTAGCGTTTTTCTCCACGATTATTTGGGATGTTCTCGTAATCACAAACATGTCACAGTGTGAATGAAGCTGGGCTTTGGCTGTCCTTCACAGACAGCAACAGGGCGTGACAAATGTGAAGGTGATCCATCCAATCACAAGAGGTAATCTCCATATGGCAAACTCAGTTGTTAAACTTTGCGCGCAATTCCTGCCTTTGCTATCCCCAACAGTGCATTTAAGATATTTGATGGTAAATTGATCCACTCCATAGTTTTTTCACATTAAACCGTGCGATTTCCTTGCGCCAGTTGCTGAATATTGCGTAAGGTCTGAGATTTCCCACGGTTCTCAGGTCTATACCTTAGCATATCATTCGTGGAAATTAGACACAGATTTGGTCATCATCCAAAAAAGCGCTTGCAGTAAATAATCTGTTGAAATTCAGCGTCGCCATTCTGATGCACTTTTTTGAGCTTCATTTGATTGTTTCAATGCTGAACCTGATACTAGATGATCAGCGACAAAGTGTAACTCCACATCCATAAATAGCACAAGGTTGAATAAACTAAATTCCAAATAACGAATGCATTAACTCTTGCAAGTTATCTTGCCTTTGACGGAGTACTGATAGATTTGTTCATTTAAGCTAGACACGTTTGTTGAAAGGAATGCTGGTAGACACGTCGTCCTGGGACAAATATCATAACGTTAGATATGTTTTTTTAAAAAGGTGGAGTTGGGAAATCAAAAGATTTCCAACATTTGACGGATAATTTCGTTGTTTAATTGACAAGAAAGGCTGTCGAAATTTGTTGATTGTTTCTTGAACGCCAAACACTTATAAACAAAAATTTCCAAGCGGTGTTATAATTTCCATAATAAATTTCACGTTCCCTCAGGTAAGGGCCAACCTTAACACACTTTATCAGTAGTATATACCATTACACCGGAATTTTTGTAAGACGAACATATCTAAAAAGCGAAGCGATTTTAGGGGAAGTATGTCTTACCTTGCTGCTAACAACAAGGACACTAGCGATGTCCGTTTGCTTGCTTGCGAACTAAATAAAAATAAATATCATTTGAGATCTATTGAAGTTTTCCAAACTTGCTCCAATACCGGAGTTGCTTTCATCAAAATCATAAAAAGTGTCAAGCAGATTGTCTTGCGCTATAAATTTTAGTGTTCCCGTTTGAATTAGCCGGAAAATAAAAGAACCCAAATAAAATGACTTCATCTCGACGGCATCATACTTTAACTTAAAGAGAGATATCGGAATGGCCACGTTTACACTTCATTGTCACGCATTTGACACGGAGTGATCAACAAGGATAATAAATTGTCATTGATTTTAATTTTTTGACATCTGGAACGAGTAGTTAATGAATCCTCACGGTAAAACTCCAGGTTATTTGTTAGAAGCCAAAGCGCCTAAATAACCTGGCCGTTCGTTAAGAAAGCCTACACTGTACAAGATTTCACAAATATTCAGTGGATCGTTTAAAAATAAATTCCCTGCCATTACAAGCTGCTTGCGTAAACTTTCCTCATGATAGATAGATAGATAGATAGATAGATAATAGATAGATAGATAGATAGATAGATAGATAGATAGATAGATAGATAGATAGATAGATAGATAGATAGATAGATAGATAGGATAGAAGATAAACAGATAGATAGATAGATAGATAGATAGATAGATAGATAGATAGATAGATAGATAGATAGATAGATAGATAGATAGATAGATAGATAGATAGATAGATAGATAGATAGATAGATAGATAGATAGATAGATAGATAGATAGATAGATAGATAGATAGATAGATAGATNATAGATAGATAGATAGGTAGTTAGATAGATAGATAGATAGATAGATAGAAAATCCAACAAAACGTTTCGCCCCACTGTCAACGACTCAGTCACTATTTTTACCGTTTAAGGACTACTTGATCAGGAAGAATACATTATCACAACTGCAAATTTGACGTAAAGCACGGGGAAATACAAGGATGACCTAGATGATACAAGGCCCTCAGGAAAGGAGACGTCTCCCTTTGAACAGTGCATTGAGTGTAAAGATGGCCAAATCATATTGGATTCGGATAAAATCCTCTGGCTAAATGGCTGCCCAGAGGAAAATGTGAAGGGAAAAAGTTTCAGAGATGTGCGGAAATGCCTACCGGCGTTTGATATTGCTGAATAAATATGCTTATCGCTTGTTGTGACACAAACCACACTCAATGCTGTTTAACGCATCATTGAGTACGCACGTAAAACAATGTACCAAGAGCCCACCGACCCAATTCATATTCAGGGACGCAGGTTTGTCATCCCATAAAATGCACAGTTGAATCCCCTAGTTTACTTCACAAAGAATCCCAACACACTTGGTTTTTTGTCCCCATTTCTATAAAAAGCCAAGAGATTTCACTTCAGATGTAAAGTTTGAATGTGAAAACGAAAATTTGCGATATTTCTCAGTAAGACTGGTGAGTCAAAGCATGCACCTTGGTCAAATAATGATGAAGGTCTCTCCACGCAGGCATTGGTTCCTCTTTTTCGGTTATCCAAGTAAGACGACTGGTTGTGTATGGTATGCTGGGGTAGGCAGTTCACCAAAAACCATTAAACGCCCACTTCTGTATAAGCTGAATTCGAAGAAGGCTAAAGACTACTTATATGTTTACGCAGAACACCACTCCGTAGAAAATTTTGTTATGTTTTGGAAGATTATCCTTACGCTCTTGTTTACAAAATGGTCTTGCTGCTGTGTGATGAATTAAAGGCTGTTTTAGATTCGAACACTTGTCCTAATGGACACAACTCTTTGATGATGACCACAAATATGTGATATATGATCCATTAACAATTTTCCCCAACCACTCGTTTGCCAAAATTATGCCTATATGGTACTAACAATGGAAATATACAAATCTGGTACACACTCA